ATGTCCATTCCCTATTTCGTGAATGGCCAAGTTGACAAGACCAAATGTAGTAGCTCCCCAAGTTGATAGATCATTGGTGCATGCCTCTTACAGCCGTCACATTTCTGCACGAACTCCTTTGCATCTTTCTCCATGTCGATCCAGTAATAGCCTGCTCTGATTATCTTACGAACCAATGATTCGGCCACCGAATGGTTCCCGCATGTGCCTTCGTGAACATCCTTCAAAACATATTCGGTGTCTCCCGGTTCAGACGTTTGGCGAGTGGACCATCGAACGTTCTTCTGAATAGGGTGTTATCGTCGAATAGGCTGAACCCAACCGCCTTCATACACATAGCTCTCGATTCTTTAGGATCCAAGGGAAGTTTCCGATTTTCAGGTAATCTATATACTTGTTTCTCTAGTCCCAGGTTAAGCTTGTCGAGTTTATCTCAACGTTGCCTTCTTCCACTACTGATTTCATGAGTTGTACAACCATTCCCGAACTGAATTCATCGTCATCAACTGATGACCCCAAGTTAGCTAGAGCATCGGCTTCGCTGTTTTGATCCTTGGGTACATGTTGCAGGGTCCACTCGTTGAATTAATGTAGTATTACCTGTAGTTTATCCAAGTATCTTCGCATTCATTCCTCTTTCACTTCGAACGTCCCATTAACTTGATTCACCACAAGGAGGGAATAGAATTTAGCTTCGATCACCTCGCCCCCCAGGCTTTTAGCCAGTTCAAGACCTACAATCATGGCCTCATTCTTAGTCATATCTCACAGTCCTAATAGAATGCCTAACTATGTTACCCGTGGGCTGCTTCCATACGATGCCAAGTCCGGACCCCTTTGCGTTCGAAGCACCATCCGTAAAGAGGGTCCAAATCCTCGAGAAGGTCTTCGAGGTTAACAATAATTCCTTTTCGACTTCGGGTATTATGGCCGACGTGGCATCAACCACAAAGTCTGCCAAAATTTGAGATTTAATGGCGGTTCGGGGTCGATATTCAATATCGTACCCACTAATTTCAACGACCCATTTGTCCAATCGTCCTGAGAGCTTGGGCTTCGCTTTTATGTTCCTCAATGGGTAAGTAGTCACGACACATATGGGGTGGTATTGAAAGTATGGCCTCAACTTCCTAAAGGCGCTTAGCAAAGCGAGCGCCAATTTCTCCAGGTGAGGATACCTCGTTTCGGCCTCGTATAGAGTCCTGCTAACATAATATATAGGAAATTACGTACCTTCTTTTTCCCGGACTAGGACTCCACTTACCGCTATCTCAGATACCACTAAGTACAGGCACACCTATTTATCTTTCTTCAAAGTATGAAGCAAAGGTGGACTCGAAAGGTACCATTTGAATTCTTCCAAAGCTTGCTGGCACTCCGAGGTCCACGAGAAGCTATTCTTATTCTTCTTCAATAACGAGAAGAACCGATGGCCCTTGTCGAAGGACCTCGAAATGAATCGACCCAAGGCGCCTATGCGCCTGGTTAGCCTTTGAACGACCTTGACGTTATCCACCACAGTGATGTCTTCTATGGCCTTGATCTTGTCGAGATTGATCATAGCTCCTTTTGACAAGGTCTCTCAACTTTTTCAGCCAAACGAACTTGATTTCATCATCTTCCAAGTCGTTCCCTTTCATGGCGCATGTGTAGGAGGTCATATGTTCTTTTGGATCAGTTATCCCATTATACTTCGGAATTTCGGACATACAGTACTTCTTTGGGATTGCCTTCGGAGTTACGCTCGGAGGGAAAGGCTTTTGGACAAATATTTTGGAATCCAGGCCCTTCAGTATAGGTGGTACTCTTGGGATTTGATCGCCCATGTAGTTATAGGTCTCCATTTTTTTGTTGTTGGCTTCGAATTTCTTTTCTTCCAACTCCACCCGTTTCGTCAGTTCCTCAAGCATCTTATTATCTCAGGGTTGGTCCCGAGTTATGCTTCACCCGGCCTTTCTGTGGCCGGTCCATTTCTGCGAGCATTTTCCTAGGATGATTCGGGCTCAACCCTACTGGGGGTGCGACTTTGATTCTGCAACTCGACTATAACTGCCTGTTGAGCCTGTAACATTTCGAAGATCACGCGCAAATTGATCCCATCACCTTCGCCGTCGTGTGTACTCTGGGCTATCGACCAAGCTCCCACGCGGATGCTATTTTCAGGGTCAATAGGCAAGTTTGCTTCGATAGTCACGTGTGAGTTAGCATTGATCAGATCAGAGACTGGGACTTCGTTGGGGTCAACAAGGGGCACCTCGTTGCTAAGTACCATGCTATTGTTCTCGCCATGGTGGTCGGATTAAGTATCCACATTCAAATTGGCAGATTGGGAGTTCGACATTTTTAATTTTGACCTGAAATTAAAAACTCAAAGAACAAGTCTAAAATAAAGTGTGTTATGGAAATTGATATCAATTGCCACTATTATCCTTAGCCCTACGGTGGGTGCCAAACCGTTTACCTTAAAAAACGAATAACAATTAAATTTATAAGTGGTTTTAAGGATACGCGGATTAATTCAATACAAATGATAAATTGTGTTAGATTAAATAGATAAAGGATATAATAATTTTTCAAACCAATTAAGGGAAGTGATCTCGGACTCAGTGACAACTTTAATGAAATGCCTGCCTTCGATCAGAGGCTCACGTTAATGATGAATTAATGAACAAAAGTAAAAACTTTGAATAAAAGAGAAAATAAGAGTATATTGCCTTGATATGCGTATTACAATGTCCCTAATGAATAATCAGACCCCTATTTATATAGTAGGGGAGTTGTACCCCAAGTACAATTCTCTAAAAGGTAAAAATCTTTCGTTTTACTAATCACCGATTTTCTGCCGATAGGTGCCGAGATTCACGCCGTGACATCCGGCTGGTCACGGATATCACGGCCCTTTGTTGGTCGCGCTCGATTATCTGATAATGCTCTCCGAGGTTTTTAGGATTCAAATCGAACCTGGGGATCGTGGCCCCGATGCTTCCGAGGGAAAGTGTTTTGCCCGGACCCCGACTCGAGGGCTCCTTGCCTCGATTCCGGTTCATTGTAACCACGTCTCTTGCTCCGTTTACTTCATTGAAATTCGAGGCGTCCCATGGGCTCGATTTCATCCGTAAACATATACATTGTCTTGTAAATTATTTTTCACATTATTCGTGTAATTTAATATGCTGTAACAAGTTGTTTGCTTTATTTTTCTGTTAACTTTTTATTTAGAATGAATAATTATTTGTAATTATCTTTTTAGGGAATCTCATAATATACAATTAAATGAAATGTCAGTATATTAGAGTTACTCTTCTCAATTTAGGTTGTAACACTAAAAGTTAAATGATTTGGTAGTGTAAATATGAGTGTAGATAAGTATTTTCTATACCTAAGCGTGCACAAAAGGGATTGAGTAGTAGGAAAATTTCAGCATAAGAAGTAAAAGGGGTACCCCTATTGACGTTAGTCTATTACACAATAGATGAAGAGTTAGGCACATGGTATGAATCCCATTACTTTCAATGTCCCCCATTGCCACTCTTTCCTTTCTCAGTCACTCCTCACTCCACAATCCCCGCTTCTTTTCTTTCCAATTTTCCCTTCATCTCCTCACTCGTTTTCCTTTCTCTCTCCCCTTTTTCTTTCTTGCCCTTTTCTTTTTCTTTCTTCTTTATATTAGTTTCTCTTTTTTTTCTTTTTGTAGTTTCAATAACCTCTTGTTCGGTAAGGGGGACTGGGCCCAGAGAAGAACCGGGGGTTGTCCTTTTCTTTTTCTTTTTCTTTTTAGTTATTCGGCAACCTCAAATACAAGATAATGAGTAATTATTTTATTTATCCAAATGTAACTCGAACTATTAACTTAAAAATAGAAGTAGAGGAGTCTAATTACTTGTCAGCTGGTTTGTTATTTTAGTCTGTAATATGAGATCTAGTAGCAGTAGTTAAGAGTTTATAGTCGAGTCGGCGAGTTTCGAATTTCACATTGTTAAAGAAAAAGCTTAAATTTTTAGATGAATTTTGAAAACGTTGTTAGTTATTTTTACCTTAATTTAAGAACAACATACTTTCCTACCTTACACGGTGATACGAGCTCACTAGGGTAAGGAAAAGCCCATATTCTTAAGCCTTAACCATTGAATAGAGGAAATTTAACACTTCACCTACCAAAAATAAAATTAGTAAATTGCCAAAAAAGAATTAGTTATCAAATTTATGTTACATTGGATTGTCAATCGAGTTATTGTAGTGGGAATTTTGACCTTGGATTACTTACTTGGAACCTACTACCTCGGGATCCTTTACCATATGTATCAAAAGTTGCGTAAACCCTAAAAGCTTAAAGTTATATTCTTTAGAATCATTACTAATTTTGTTGTGTTCTTGAAAAGTTAATTGATTTAAAATTATTATGAAAAGAAAAGGAAAACTACGATCTTCCAGCTAAAGCACAAGGATTACGCTTTGAGCCGCATGACTGAATCTTAAGGATAAAGTTAAATGCATATAATTGTAGTTTTCTGCAAGTGCATATATAATAAACGTACGGCTCTAGAGGAAATTACAAAAACTAAAGAAAAATAAAATGATAAAGAGGAACTCAGTATTTAGAAATATATTATAAATGATTATCTGCCTTATTTTCAATTATCAATTAACTTACTATAAATTGTTACTCCTATTTTGAAGTGATATAATATAATATTATAATTCTTTTACAGTATCGGAAAATTAAACTCTAAACAAATTAGAAACATCCATCGAACAAATGAACCCTTTTGTTAAAGTGCTATAATTACGGAGGGGACCACTTTCTTCCTCCATTTTTCCTGTCCCCATTTGCACCTAATAAGCATGAAAAATGGAGGGAGAGATAATCACTCCCCACTCAAAAATTAAAACTAAAGGAAAAAGGAAAGTAAATGTTTAAAAATTGGAACTAATAAGAAATTCAAAACAAATAAGTAGACACACAAAAGAGAGATAAAGGGTCTCTATATAAAGACAGTCCATTGCAAGTTCACAGCCATAGAGGAATTACACAACATAATTTCACATCTCTCTCTTAATTCTTTTGCCTATCCAAAATGGCACCCATTGCCAAACATTTCTCCCTTATCTTCCTCCTTACTCTCTTGTCTTCACTCCAAATTCATGCAAGGGACGGTCAATTCTTCAACAAAGTCCCCAGCAACAATGGTGAGAAAGAGACACAAACAGTTATTCCCAACAAAGAACAAGAACCTAATTTCATGCCAGAGAATGAAAATGGAGCCTATGGCCTATATGGTCATGACTCTGTCACCACTAATAATCCTTCTGTCCACAATCTTCCCAACAGCAAATACCTTCCCAAGAATTACAACCCTGTTTCTTATGTGACTGTCCCTGAGGACAACACTAATGAAAATGATTTGAATAACAATGAGTTCACACCCAAGCACACTACAACCACCACTGCCTCTAATAACAACCAATTCTACAGTGGTCCCACCAATTACGGGAACAGCAACAACAACAATAACAACAACCAACAACAGTACTATAATGGCGTCAGTGATTATAGTACTAGGAGCAACAACCAGCAGCAACAGTTCTACGGCGGTGACAACTTTTACAGTAACAACCAGCAGAAGCAGCAGTACTACAACGGTGGCAACACTTACAATAATAACGATAACAACAACAACAATGAAGAGGAGGAGTACTACAATAATGGTAACACTTATTACAACAATAACAACAACAACGAGCAAGAGGAGTTGAGTGAAACAAGATTAAGTGCCAGTACTTACAGCACCAACCCAACAAATTACGGAAACAATTACAACAACAATCAAGAACAAAGCTACTCCACCAACTACAATAACTACAATACTGGCAAAAGTAATTACAGAGTGCACCAGCAGCAGGGGATGAGTGACACAAGATTCTTGGGAAATGGGAAATTCTATTATGATATCAACGCTGGGAAGCATGCTAGGGATCCATATGAAAATGCAAGAGAATTTGCTGCAATGAACCAACAGTACAACAACAGGAACACCTATGGAAACAATGAATACAACAGCAACAACAACAACTTTGAGAATGAAGAGGAGTTCCAAGTTGAAGACAACATGCCTTGAGCTTTTGTTCAACACTTTGATGAAAAAAAAAAAAAAGTAAACATAGTGAGCCAAAAGGAATGTTATGTGTCCCACAATTATCATTGATGTTGTTTTCCTTTTTTATCTAAGTTATATTTTATTAGCAAAATGTTAATTAAACTACAGAGTTATTTTTGGGCGTTTTATGTATAATTATGATGAATTTCTACTGATATGTATGGCTATGATTATAAGGACTTGGATTTTTAATGTGCTGAAATCGACAGTAAATAAAAATTGTAGTGATCAAATATCATTGTGTCAACTAGCTTCTGCCAGTAAGCAATCTAATGTCAGTCAGGGTATTTTACTAGTCTGCAGTAAAAACTGCACCTATAATTATGTCGCATATATAATATTGACCGGATTAGTATAATTCTGCTAGTCTACTAGTGAGAGTGAAGATGCTCTAGTCTGTTTAATTTTTCTAAATTTAATTTCTGACGAATAAATAATTATCATGCCAAGTTGTGTGAAGTATACTTAATTATGATTAATAATACAACTTTATCAGAGATATGAAATACCTACCAACACTGAAATATTTATTTGTAAAGGCAGTGTACACTCTGCCCTCTAGGTTCTGAAGACTGTTCTTTGGGACCTAAAATCTCACCATCTTGTGTTGGGTTGTAGAGGGAAGAGGTCCCTATATAATCTATGACTTATTCGTTCTCCTTTTCTTTCTTTCTTTTTTTTTTTTTCCTTTTTTTAATAGATGGTGTCCTTATTAGGTTGTGTGCACTTTGATTATCCAATAATTCTATTTGATTATCCAATAATTCTATTCATCAAAGTTTAAATAATATGAAGAAAAAAAAAATCACCTACCTTTTTTTCCAATTGAAATTTAAATTGTGATCTTCCATATCCTGATGATTGCGGTAATCCGGAAATCTGTTCGAATTCAGTTACAATATTTGATGCGAGCCCGTTTGTTGTAGTCTTAATGTGCAAGATTATCTTGGCAATTACTTGCGACTTGCGAGTTAAATTCTTTTAATAAATTAATCAAAGTGCGTACAAATTAATCCAACACCATTAATATAAAAAAGAACAAGAAAAAAGAAGAAGAAAAAGAATAGAGAACAAAGACAATTATTAAATTTTTTCATGGTGTCAATTTTCCGTTTGATTCATGTTTCTTTTAAAATTTCTTTTTTTTTTCTCCTTTTCTTTCACGTTATTTCCCCTTTTACTCAAATAGAGATACCCATCACTTTTTAAAACCATACATGTTTTTTACCTTATTTATCAGTAAATTCATTTATTTTTTTCTTTTCTTTCTCTATTTGTTTTAAAGACAGTTTTAAGACAGAGACTTGTATCAACATAGTGACCATGCCCACCAACATTTGTTAACAACCATTGCTTCCTCCACCAGTTCCACGAGTATTTCACTCTCCAGCATTTAATGCTTTGAAAATCGGAAGCACTAATTTTTTATTTGATTTTAATTTTTGCTTTTTGTCGCTGTGAATTACATGTATTTTTGCTTTGTGTAGGTTTATATAAATGGTTACTTATAATTCCTGCATTATACCTTCAAATGTCAGTTAACCTTTTATCAACTAATTGAAAATAATAATCTAAGGCATAGTTTGGTAGTCGAATTCAAGACTAGATTAATGCAAGATAATTTTCACAGTACGTTTGGTGGAGAATTGAAATACTGATATCTATTATCTACCATATATACCTACCAAATGACCTTATATACTAACACTTATCGACGTTTCGTCCGTGGCAAACAAAAAGTAATTCTAAGTATATACACAACACCACACAAAACTAATTAATTAATTTCTCTTTTTTTCTAATTTCATAAAAATATGGTTCTTCAAGTTTCTTCTGGATGAGGCATGGATATAGTGAAAGCAAATTAAATTCATCACTGCCAATCTAGCATAGTTTGGTGGATGGACACTATTTAATGAAGGGACCCCCCCTCCCCCACCCCAAAGCCCCAGACAACCTTCTCTACAATGGGTTGATTTGTCCACATATCAAATATTTGTAAGTGAAAGTTGCATAGGGGCATGGAACCATTGGAGCTGATGGCGAGAGTCATATGCTACAATTAAATGATATAAAAACAAAACTTAAAATAAAAGAATTTAATCTATGTATATTTTCGACGTAAAGAATTATTGCGCTATCAGTGTAACAATATATTTTAACTTATTATATTTTTTAGTTTACTAGTTTTAGTTATTATGAACAGTTATATGTAGTTCTCTCCTAGATAATTTGATAGGGCAAAAATTAATTTATGCTCTTAATGTATAAAAAGTCAAAATTAAAAGATAAAGAAAGTCAAAAACCACAACATATTTTCAATGGACTTTTGTCTGCCGTGAATGGCGGGTCGTCTTAGAAATCTTTGTTTGATTTTCTATTTTTTATTTTATTTTATTTGGAAAGAATGAATCATTTGATTTTCGTCTTTCAATGTGTGCTTCAAGCTTCTTATAAAACTTTTTGACTTTCTTTTTATCTCTTTGAATCGAAACTACTTGTCATTGTCCTATAGAGTTCTTTCAACTCTCTGTTTACTTTTTTTTCTTTTGCTTTACTTTAATAGTTCTCACTTTGTTTCGCAGCAAAGTTTTAAGTTTTGGAATTGAATGGAATTCCATTATGAGTTTGCTTCTATACTCAATTCCTGGTGACAATTAAAGTCATGCGTCATAATTAGACATTGAGTATTGGTACTTCCTTTGCTTTAAGAAAGAAAACATACTCGTGAAACTTCTTCTTCTTTTTCCCAGATGGAAAAGGAAAGAATTTAAACTTTTATGTAGTAAAAAATATACACTATCAAAATACTTAAAGATAATCATATATAACCTTTCATAATAAGCAAAACTAGCTAGTTATCAAAAAGATAACGCATAAATTTATAATAACAAAATTAATTGTTAGTGTAAAAGTTATCTATATTATCAGAGTATGGAAGTAAAATCCAAAAGAAGATATATATGATACACTCCATAATCCGTGGTTGATGATTATATTTTTCAGCAAACTTTGAAGATACAACACCAAGGTTAAAAGTGGGCTCATCTAGGTTAAGTATGAATTTTTGTGAAGAATTACCTCGAATCAGTTGTAACCATGTGTTTCGAAAACAAACCCCCAACATGTATTTCAAACGTCCTAACCTTGGTATTATAAAATGTTGTGGCATATATCTATGAGTCTACATTCATAGAAGAGTAATTAGTAAGGAACTAAATTCAGTTTTGACTACTTTCGTCTGGTATTGCTAGAACAATAAGGGGATAGCAAGGTTATTAAGTATAATTTTATATTATTATTTAAGATTAAGATCATGTGCAAAATAAATGGTAGCTAACTGTGGTTAAGTACTGCAGTATGTAATTACTATAGTTAAATAAAGTGACTAGTGTCATTTAGAAATTTGTTTGATGTAAATATCGGGTTAGTTTTTACCATTTTATCAAGGAACAGGAAGGAGAGTTTGTTCTAATTTGGGAACCAAAAACATTGCATGAATAAGCAAGTCTTTAGAACGTGCGATTCACTCGCAAGAGAAACAATGGAAGAGAAAATAAATAACTACCGCATTTATTGATGATTGACACTAATTTAGTGTAACTTGAATAGGTAGTTCTATGTGATATAGGTGCATATATCACATAGATCAGAAGACATTTCCTTACAAAAGTAGGGTTTGGTCCAAACTGAGAGTACTACTCATTATGTTTTAGGAGTATGGAAATGCTGAAAATCTGGAATTTGCATGTGGTGTGGTTGATCCATAAATTATCATTTTCTCTTATAATCATCACTCCCATCTTCTTTAATTTACCTCATAACTCTGCATATAATCAGAACTCAAACATAGCTACCACTTACCAGTTGCACTTGATTATCTAATAAATAGACCCTTGTGGTCCGATCTTTCTCCGAATCCTGCGTATAGTGAGAATTTAGTGCACCGCACTGCCCTTTATATCTTCCTTCTGACTTCACACATGTAACACTATTTATATCTTCCAGGCATTAGTTAATTTTTCCTAGTGTACTAAACTTTTTAATCTTAGAACCTTAATTTTTCATAAACACGTATTGTGTTTATGTTATCCATGAGTGGCAGTCCCTATCTCTAAGTGTTTTCAGTATATTATAGTGGTTGAATTGGCCAAATTATGAAGTGATAATGGTGAAAAAACTATAAAAAAAAAAGATGGTAAGAAAAATAATAATTTACAAGGATATAATCTTCAAGGAAGATTTTGCGATTTCTATGGATTCGCCAACTTGTACCACTCGGTTTGAATCAGACAAAATTCGATCCCTTCTTCTAAATTTTCCTCGTCCATATATATATTCACGGGACTCCAATCCCAAAAGAATTTTAAAATAAATTTGTAATTCTGACTATGAGAGTCAACTTATAAATTATAATGTTTATAATATGGCCAAATTTTTATGACATTTGCCATGACATAATATCTATTATAATAAATTTGTGGTTCATGACATAATATCCATTATAACAAAATTGTGGATCATGACATTTGCCATGATGTAATATCCATTATTAGGCCAAGGATTTCTTGCTATAAATAGAGGAGTTTCTCCTCATTTGCAAACACACCAATTCAAGAGCTTTTCACTCTTGTCTTTTTTTCTCCTCCTTTATTTCATTATAGAGTATTTTGTAAGAGAGTGAGTGTTGGGAAATACTTGTGTGAACCCTTTCTTTGGAGTGATCTTGTGAGGTTATTCTCTTGGGGTATTTGGGATTAATTAGAGTATTTACTCTAATTTTGTACTCTCTTTTGTACTCTTGTTGGTATAGTGAAATTGCTTTTCTCCGCTTGTGGACGTAGGTCACCTTGACCGAACCACGTTAAATTTGTGTCTTCTTTATCTTCTTTAATTGCCGTTATTATCAACTTCCATTGTCTTTGTTATTGTCATTATACCTGTCACGACCCAATTTCACCTATAGGTCGTGATGACGCCCAACACTACAGCTAGGCAAGCCAACTAATAAGTCAAACGTACATTGGTTAAACTTTTATTAAAAAAATAAAAATAATAAAATATCAATTTCTACCAATGTGTGTGCCAAGACACGGTGTCACAAGTGCATGAGCATCTAGTAGATTATACAAAACTCCAAATACTGTCTGAAATG